CTCCCTTGATATCTTACCCTTCTTCAGCGCCAAATCGGTCTCGTTTCCGGTTCACTGGTCTAAGAGGCGCCGAGGTTGGGTGCACATTTGTACTTTCTCAGACGCGGCGTCGTCACCGACTCGCGAGAAAATGAATACACAATGTTAAGGCGCTTCTTTTTGACAGTCCGGTCAGCTGGGAAAAAAGGTTCCGAAACTCGACTACCCAGTTACGAAATTCCTTCCCAGCAATTAGGGAAATGCCTGGAATTTTCGCAACGTCTGTCGGCAAGGGGCAAGGGATCTGTTAGAAAATAGGGGGAAGAGATCGGCTTCGTCATAGTGTGAAACGTTGAAGACCTCTTGTGTACTTCAAGCTGCAGCAGTATGCAATGAAAGTAAACATAAAATTGATGATATACAGGTTTGTTTTCAGTTAATTAAGGATTTACCTGAAGAATTTAATGGTGTTGTTCAGAGATTATACGCAATTCCTGATGAAGAATTTTATCATGGGGAAAAATATCTGAAGCTTTCCTATTAGAAAGAAGTCGCCAAGTTTGGCTCCAATGATATAAGTATAGAGCTCGATAAAATTAATTGGGACCTCGTTTTAAAATAACTCGATTTCTATTAGCTCTAAATTTGGATGGCGTTCGTGATTCCCAGTTAAATAAACAAAAAGGGAAATTTAAATTTTACCATAAAAGTAACACAGTTGAATCCAGATGAAGATTTGGATTTCATAGAAATCCGAAGTTAAGTTTTTGCCTTGTGAAATGGGAGCAACAGAAAGTTTGGATTTATGTTCATACTTAATACCAGTGTTAAGGGTCAGTTTGTTATCGATAGAAAGTATCACTTGAATTTTTTAAAGAATTCACACACATAAAAAAAATTTATCAGTAGCTAATCTTAACTGTAGTGCACCAATTAAAGGATCTGGAACATTGAAATTTTAAATAAATTGTGATGGTTATTTAAATCAAGTATTAAAAAAATGTACCATGGATTTAATGCTAAATTTAATGTCTGGAACTTTATATATATATATATATATATATATATATATATATTTATTGTTTACCATAATGGAAGAGCAATCCCGTATATGAAAAATAAAGCGGATCTTGTTTAACTTAAGGAACCGAATCAATTTTATGAAGTAAAATCTAATTATAACTTTGACTTTAATAGAGAAAATAATGAAACTCATTTAATTTCCCTTCTAGGGAAGATACTCGAATTTGTGGCATTAACATTTTGCTCATTGCTACTTAAAAAAAGAAACTATACTATATCTTAAAATGGCAGCATGAGAAATTTACCCCATATTACCACTGGCAAAGATATCTCTTCAGTAGGCAGGGAGCCAAATAAAAAAGGTCATCATTCCCCGAGCTTGAATACTTTAAAATTAATAACCCTTCAGAACTAATATATAAGGATGCTTGTGTGAGGTAATTTTCTTTTAAAAAATTATACGGGTTGTAAATACACTGATGCCCACACAGAATGCAAAACCAAGGAGGACCGGAGATATCACAGCGAAATTTATTTGGCTGATAATATGTACGAAGATCACAAGCGATTAAAATTACAGCCTCTTGTGACTCGTGGATGATGACAAAATCGTAGTTAGGGTAGCAGCCATTGCTGGTTATAACCACTGCCACACGCCTCGGCATAGAATCAAAGAAACTTTGGATGTATCCTTAGTGTATAGCAGTCCATGCGGCTTCCACATATTGTCAAAGTTGATTTGGTGTAGCAGTGGGTGATGTATCTCGGGCCAGTTGTTGTGGAAGAGTGGGCCACATGTTTTCGATTGGCGATAGTTCGAGAGAACAAGAAGGCCAAGGAAGCAATTCAATCTGATGGGTAAAGAACTCTTGAACATTGCGTTCCAAGTGTGGTCGCGCATTATCCTGTTGGAACATGGCTGATGGTAAGCGTTGAATGTATGGGAGGACCACGGGCTCCAACACCTTAGGGATGTAGCGCTACTATTCTTATAGGCTACTATTCTTCCTCGATCAAATTCAGAAACTTGGTCAAATGATGCCCAATGTCTTCCACGAGGCATAGGTAAACAGCTTACTCAGAAAAAAAAGCACGAAAAAACAATTGCCGTTCTTCAAATCGCCAATCTGTTCTCCCTTTATATAGCCCTTGTGAGTGGCGCTACTGTGACCTGTGATGTGCGTCTGCGCTATAATGCTAATGATTTGCATATTTCATCACCGCCAACGCATGATGTAAATTTCACACGGTTTGTATGCTTTCTTCAGGGTGTTACACTTTGAATGGCCAGCAGTGTATATATTATCCGTGATTCAAGAATTCCCAGGAAGAATCGTAGTGTATCCCTTACAGCAGAAATTAAAATTTTGTAAAATTTGAATTGCTTTTAGTAATGGCTTATAAACAATTAAAAAAGGCTTATTATATATTAAAATAGATAATGTAGGATGACATTCTGTTACAAATGTGTTAAAAAACTTCTTGAGTATCATGGAATTTTTCACGAAAGAACTGACATAACATCCAAGTAATATTGCATTGCAGAAAGATTTAACGATTACACTTTTGATGCAGTGAGATGCTATGTTCAAAGTTTTCTGCTATGAACATAATAAAATAAATACTACTCATATAGCTAGCTGATGTGCACCTATAATAACCTAATTTTGTTAGCATCTGCAAAAGTTAATCCTAATACAAATGACTTAGTAAAAAGAAAAAAAAAAGTAATTCAAAAGCCACGTGAGTAGAAAAAGTTTGAAGACCACTGTTTCAGAATCACCCCACTATCAGTGCTAAAAATAGAGTCCCCCTCTTTCCTCCCCCAACAGCTGTCCTGTTCAAACGATTCTCCTTCTATCGGTCATTCTAAAATTTAAGCAGACTAACATTTAGCTGATCTCAAGGTCACTTGACAGTTGCCTTTTCGAAAGGATGTCATGGAGAGTGGTTTCTTGACGTAGTTTTAGGGTTACTTTATTTTTAATCCCCCCTTTTTTCATGAAAAAAAAAACAGAATTAGTGTTTCTGAAGTGATTAAAGTTATTATTCGTGTAGCAAAATATAAAATATATTTTTCATAAAATATAGTATTATTAATGCGTATTTAAGCAGTTTATGCTATAATTTTATTCTTAAGTAACGTTTTAAAAATTTTGTACGTAGATTGCATACACATGGAGCCATCTGCCGACATTGTAATAAAGCTTGCCAAATATGGCGTCAGAAAATTCTGGAAGCAAGGATAAATGTATTTTTCGTAATTTTAAAATTTTCTAGACTATTTCTGACATTTCTACATTTCAAGGCGGATTTATATGAGTAATTTACGTTCTCAGCAAAAGTTTTACGCCTGAATAATGTGATTTCATTGTGCAAAAGTACCCTAACCATGTCAGTACATTTGGCAGTCCCCCTTAAAGAAACATACTAAAATATGTTCAGGTATGTGTANGTAATTTACGTTCTCAGCAAAAGTTTTACGCCTGAATAATGTGATTTCATTGTGCAAAAGTACCCTAACCATGTCAGTACATTTGGCAGTCCCCCTTAAAGATACTGAAAACCCGCATTGAAGAGAGGCAGATGCTGGTTAAATCTGTCGTAGCTAAAGGTTCTCAAGTTGGCATTGTGTGGAAGTTAGGAGAGTGAGGGTGCGAGTTCAGGTGTAGTCCTCTTCTCCTGACCATGGTTCATAACTATATCTGTCTCCAATAGACTTCTTGTTGCTTTATAGTGAAGCGTTAGTAAACACTCACTTACCCAATCATTTTCCCGAAATATCTCTAGAACTACTGATCAGCAGTGGCGTAACGTACACTCCTGCAACCCCTACATCACGAGGGGGGGGGTGCCCAAAGCCTGACTGACACCAAGTATGTACCCTTTGTAAGATCCGGCTCGGGGACGAAAACCTGACTTTGCAGGGGGGTCCTAATATTCTCTGTTACGCCACTGCTGATCAGATATGAAAGAAATCTGAACAAGTAATATAAAAAAATTAAGTCAATTCCTACTTAGGTCAACAAAGAAAAGTTTTGTTTTAGCTACTTTTTATTAAGTAGTTACAATTAATATAAATATGTATATACAGTAAGACCCCACTTAATGCGGGGGGATACGTTCCATCAAAGTAGAGCGTAATGCGAAACAACGCTAAACGAGGCTATCTTAACAAGTAAATAATGGGGTTAGGGGAAGATGGATAGAAAATTGGTTAGGTATTAAATTTAATAATTATGTTTTTTTTAATAAATATAAAACCAAACATTTATTTCTTACAATAATGAAAACAATATAAACGAATATATACATATAAAAACAAATAAAATTCTAAGTCAGTCAGATCATTCAGTCTATTCTGTGTTTCCAATTTTCTGCCTTTTTGTAAAGAAGGCATTTTGTTGAAGTTGCCAAATTCAATGCAGCACTAATTTGAGATGGACGTTCACCAGAATCTAATCTTCTAATCACTTGCATTTTAGTTTCCAGTGAAATGCTTTTTCTGGTTGCTTTCTTTTCTTGTTTTTCATTATCATCCATGATAAAAACTAAAGATCATAATATTTGTCTCCGTATTAATCGTTATAGTATTATATAAATATATACTTGCAATAATGTCAACAAATGTTTCAAAAGATAAAAATGCGTCCGTACAGCACCGCACCAAACAAGAAACACAACTACACTATTTCGGATATGTTACGTACATATTTTGAAATCTACAATTTCTCGGGGAATCCCCGAGTTGAAATAAAAGAACGCTAAATCGCGCGCGAAACAGCGTTAAGCGGGGTCTTACTGTACATATGACAGAATCACAATATTAAGTGACAAAATAGAAAGTGATTTTCTTTGCAATTTTCTATTTTCCTTTCTATATAGGGTGTTGGGCTGTTTTTTGTTTGTTTGTGTGTTACTATTAATTTAATTAATTAAATTTAATTATTCTAATAAAATAGTATAGTTAAAAAAAATCACATTCTCAGAAACTAGGCCATCTCAGGTAGGATTCGAACCCACTACCTTTGGATTAGATGTTCAACACGCTAATCATTGCGCTACAGGGACACAACGAATAGTTTTCCTTTCTGTATATGCTGTCGGACTATTATTTTTGTGTGTTTATTATTTATTCATTTTTTAATTTAATTAATGAATTAATATATGGAAAACTGTATTAACATCAAGTATCATCCTCTACAAATTAAAAAAAAATGTATTTGAACTTGAATGAATGAACATAAAGTATTTTATTAACGATTGAAAATTTGAACAAGATATATATAGGGAGAGAGTGAACTAATAATAAGCATCGAGAAATAAGCCGTTTCTTTTCAATTCAACAAGAAATTCATATTTCTTAAAGGCAAATTTTTTTTTAGGAGTTAGTTAATTAATCCATCAGAACCACAACTCTTGATCCACTAACAGTGATACCAAATTTATCGAGCTGAGAAAAGAATTATGAAAGTTATTACAGGTATCCTACTTTTTTAAAAAGAGTGCATCCTAAATCAAACTCATGTGACTGGACTTATATCACAGTATATAATAAATATTTCATTAAAAAAAATTTATGATTTAGTTTTAATCATCTTCAATCATTGATAAGTATCACGGAAACTGCAGTGTTTTTCTTTACAGTTTACTTGAGTCGATTTACAGTCGTTAGTTTAATTATTCTCATTGTTTTCTTTTTAATACTATTGTTTTCAAAATAAACCTACGTTTCTTCAAAATAGAGTTTTTGTTGTACCGCCCACTTAAATTTCTAACCACACTTTTATAGTGCATCAGCTGATGAATCAAGCTTTTTCGCTGCACATAACTAACACACTGCAGATTTAAGAACACACACATATCTGAAAGATTTAATACAAGTACTTCTTGGATATTTCAATACGAGAAAAATATATACGATTTAAATTACTTTTACAAAACAATTATTGTAAAAATGAGGTGCTTTATAAAAGTGAGAGATGAAATTAAATGTAGATTTAAGTGTCAATTTTTCTTATTTTGAAAATAATTCATTGTCAATGATCCTAAAATTAAATGACACTGTTTTATGTTCTAATTAAAAACAACTGTCTGTACTAAAAGCAAGCAGAAAAATTGATTGCTCGTTTGAAATTACTATGATTTAGTATTAGTTTCAGATTAAAAACTAACTGTAAGAATACAAATACGCAAATAAAATAATTAAAGAGACAAATACAGCTTTATTTAAACATAAAACTTATAAAACTATAAATTTACATTTTTACACACATGTTATTAATACATAAAAATATTTATTTTCATTTTCATAAAAAAAAACTGTTACATTAAATTTGACAAAATCATTTAGATGAATCTTTTATATAAACTATGGTTGTTAAAGGTTATTTTACAATATTAATAAACTAATGAACAGTTAAAAAGAAAAAAAAATCCCATTTAAAAACTTGATTCCACTTATATTATTATATTAGAAAATGATGCAAATGTATTAAACACAATTACCTTTGTTTAAAATGAAATTTGTATTATAATTCAAAATGAGAACTATACGAAAACTGGAACTTTTTTTTTAAAAAAAGAGACTCCTTAAAACCTTTTTTTTTATTTGAACAATGGAATAAGTTATTTTTTTCGAGCCACGAAAATAGTTTTGGAAATGTATATTATTCGTGAATTTAGATATTAAATCTCTGTCATTTTGAACAATGAATGAGTGATTGTTAGAGTTTACGGCTCACGAACCAATTCTGTCTAAGTTGTGCCACTTTCATTTAAAAGAATTTAAAATATGCTTCGAAAAAAGTGTAAATATTACTCAGCACATGCAAGATAAATACATTTAATAAATTAGCTTTATAAGCCTTAATTCGCAACTATATTTTAATTGAATAAAATTTCCGAATGTATACTTGCAGTAAAGAAACTAAGAATATATGATAAAAATATGAAAATATTCTAAAAAGTAATAGGCTATTTTTAGTATGTTAATTTGATTACAAAAAATTTAGTTATAATTCGCACATATTTTGAAATTTTTTTAAAGTTATTTTAATATAAAATACATTTTTTGTATCTTAAAAAAAGAAAGTTATACATCAGTAAGAACTTGAAGCCAATTATAAACAAATAATGATGAAAAGAACAATTTTCTCAAAAATTTGAATAATTTTATTTCTGAGACTTATTTTTTTTTTGGTGCAGTAGATCCATTTCTAAATATATTTGGTTTTTCAGAATAAATCTAAATGAAAATTAGTGTCTTGGAACTCTTTATTAATTATATTCTTATATATTCTTTTCCAAAATCAAAACTTTAATTATTTATAGATATTTCCAAAAAGTTTTCTCTCTTTTTCTTCATCCATAAGAAGCAATATGAGATCTGTACGAATACTTACTTTAAGGTCTAAAATATAATTGTATAAAGTAAGATAAATATATATCCAAGACTCATTTTCCAAAACTTTCATATTCTTTTCTTTCGATCCTTTTCCTCTCGAACAGATAAGAAATCATGAAAGCAAAAATATATGTATATAGTCTGATTACAAATAAAAAGCTCTATATACATACATACATACAGTTTCCATGTTTTAAATTCTATGTTTAAATCAAATACAGAAGAGTTAAGAGTCCTTAATTTTCTACCTATCATTGTTGATTCATAACTTTTTTCTTTGAGTTGGTAGTTTCAAACGTCACTCAAACATGATCAGAAAAATTTATTATAATATATAAAAATATATTTTCATAAATTCAATTCATTTGAAGTTCATGCATATTATTCGAACATAGTTACATAATCTTCGGAATATATAGCATTGCATTTCAAAGCTATGTACTTTGATATTATGTTTATTGCATTTATCAAAGAAATTGTGCCTTTGAGCTTTATTTTGCGAAGAAAATAACTTAAATATTAGAGAATGTCAGAACGATTCTCATTTCTTTATAACGAGTATGGATTGAAAGGAACATTAGTTGGCGCTATTGGCACTTTGGTTGTGCTTGTGATAGTTACGGTCGTTGGATACATCGATGTACTTGTAACAGTTCTGAATTTTGTACTAAATCCATTGTAAATAAGAGTATAAATCCTTGGGCTAAGACTTGTAGTTGTTGTTACTGTAGTATATATAGAAGTTATGGTACTGTATTCAGGCTGGGGTGGAGCTAAGCGAGTAGCTCCTATCAGTTGTTGCAACTGTTGCTGCTGCTGCAAAGCATGCGTGTTTAAATACGGCTGCACTGATGTTATTGTAGTTGTAACAGTGTTTTTCTTCGTAGACGTGGGTTCTGAAACTGTTCGGTATCTTGTTGATCTTCCATCATAAAATCGGATTGTTTTTGTGCTGTAAAATGTTTCCGTAGTTACATATGTAGATGTATCAGTTACCGTTGAATATAAAGTCATCTGAGCGTTGAGTTGTTGTAGACCTAAATACACCGCTGCTAAAGGATTATTTGATAAGGCGTGTCCCAAAGACAGAAAAGGATTTGTGAGCTGAGGTGGAGTATTGCCAGCTGATGGTGCTACCATTGAAGGCTGCACAGGAACTTCTGTAGAAAATTGTTCTGGTGGAGCAGATTGAATAATTGAAGGTTGAATATTAGCTGCAGCTTCCAAAGTAGTATCTCTAATTTCAGGTTCTTCAAAAACTGATTCCAAAACAGAAGCATCTCCAATCGGAAGAGTGCGATATGCTGTAATAATTTTCATGATGAAAAAGCTTTCCGTTACTGTGTGATAAGCCGTTGATTTTCCATCAAAAACTGGAACAACAGATGTTTTCAAGGCTCGTTCAGTCGTTGTGAATGTTCGTGTAACAATGTGATGATCAAAATCCACGTCTGAAGCTCCACGTTCCATTGAAGTTGACTCAGCAGCAAGAATATCTTGAATATCTGTTGGATGAACAGTTAAAGGTACAGATGTGGTAATTGTGAGAGTACGAATAGATTTCCTTCTACCCACATGGAGAGTTACTTCGCTGGTAATAGTTGTTTCTTGGAAAACCACCTTAGCTGGGTCAACTTCAATACTTAGACCTTCAGTTACTACTTCAGTTTCCTCCTCAGCTTTGTTTGTGTGGTCTTCTTCCAAATCTTCATCATCAGCTGGTAAAGTTACGTTATATTCATCAGACGAATCATGCCTAAGAGTAAGTTTCACTTTGAAACGATTCAACCGCACCTATAAAAAATTCATTACATTTAAAAAAGTAAGCAAATAAGAAAATAATTTTTTATCAAATTATTTTTAAAAAAGCACGGAAGAGCTCTGGGTGTTACAAAAACCTTCACAGTTATTTGAAAAAAGAAAAACGTGATGAAGTTGTAACACCATAAAGAGTTAGTTTTTTTATTCTTTTTCTAAAGTTAATATTATTCTTAGAATTGCAAAAATAGACACAAATTTTCAAATCAAAATCACAAGATGCTAATCTTTACAAGAGTAATTCAAGTAATTAAGTAAATCAATTCAGTTTTTCTTTTTCTCACCACATGTATTACAATTTTTTATTATTAAAAAGCAATAAATCTCTTCCAATAGTGTATAAGTTTGAATTTTTTTCAATACTAATCTAGGTAAAATTGGAAAACTACGCGAGTAATTATACGAGAATGAATCTCTAGAATAAGTAGAGAGATTAATAAAAAAAGGAATGTTTATCTCGTATATTTATTTAATGGACATATTTATTTAATTAATTCTAGAGGATTTTGACATTGAATAAGCAACTATATGTTCTCTTTCGAAAAAACTTACTATGTTTTTCAATGTCAATTAGTCAAGTACATAACATTATTTACTGAAACAAACAAACTTCTACAGAGTATTATTTAAAGATTTTTTTTAAAGATACCAGAATAAGGTCAACAAAATTGTGCGTTAACGGAAAAAAAGAATGCTTAGCTTAGTCTGGTAAGAAGAAATAGTTACTTATCTAAGTTATCAAGAGATATACCTTTTTCTACATTTGTAAAAATAATAATGGCTGCAGAATATAGAATTTCTGAATATGATTACGCATACAAAATTTGAATATAGTATGAAGTATAAA